GCACCCAGGGGATGGGGATCCTGTTTTCAAGGCAGATTCCCTATATAGAACTATCTACTCTCTGCTGTAAACAAGGGGTAGATATCTTTTCACGATGGGCACTATCCAGGATCAGACCTACATCTTCTCTAATATTTATGCCCCGAATTCGAAACAATACCACTTCCCCCATGCCACCCTCAACGCCCTGACAAGATTTGCTGAGGGCATCCTAGTAATAGGGGGGAGACCTGAATTTGGCACTGCACCCTGAGCAAGACTCAACATGCCGGACGGGACCAAACCCTTACAACAGACACACCAAGACCATCCGCCTCCTCCACCACCATCAGCTCACGGACTGCTGGAGAGGGCATTACCCATCGGCACGGGATTACACCTTTTACTCCTCAACCCATACCACTTACACAAGATTAGATTATTTCCTCATGCCTTATGGTAATCTGACGCACCTCTTGGAGTTGGAAATTTTGCCAACGCACTTCGCCAGGATCGTCAGCTGGTCAACGGCAGGAGGACGGCATGGGAACAACTGGAGTCAAATGTGATTTACGGAACTCACACGCTGGTAACTCACCCCTACACGCCAGAGACTCTGCAATTCCTGACTCTTGCTGGCGATGCAGGGAGGAGACGGGCACTTTCACCTACATATGGTGGGACTCATCAAGCATTTCTGCGAGACAGTTAGGGAAGTGATCCAGGAGTTGACAGACAAATCCCTACCGCTCTCACCAGCCCCATTCGTCTTACACCATACAACCATGGTGACACCGGCATACAAAAGGTCTGTAGTCCCAAGGCTCCTCTACGCTGCAAAGGCAGTTATCCTACTATTCTGGAGACAACCCTGAGCACCCCCACTCAAGTGCTGGGTGGAGGAGGTGGAAGACACAAAGAAATTCGAGGACCTGAAAGTTATAACACCAAGAGACAGAAACAGGTACACACAGTGCTGGTTCAACTGGCTACGCCATGTCACTTCGGATGCCTTCATACAACGTCTGACTAACCCCTGAACAACTGGAGGAGAGAGATGCACGTTCACATCGGGGGACTTCGGGGAGAACCACAGGGTGTGGTGGGCCGGGGCGGTGACCAGGGGAGATGCTTAGCCTTTCCCCACCCAACCTAAACCCTTCCCCGCACTCCCCTTCCCCCCCTCTTTCTCAGACGCCTTCTTACTTCTTACCAATCCGGTCCCCCTCTCTGTCCCCCCTCCAATCTCCAAGCTCACCACATTCCTTTAATTGAATTAGGCGCCTGGCTGTGGCTCAATAATTCCTGAATACAACAGGCCACACCGAGCCGAGGCCCATGAGACCACGCTACTAAGTTCCGCACAAGTCAAGAGATCCCAGGGACCTAACTACAACCCTTGAGGCACCTACTAGGCAAGATGCCCCTTACTGTTATCAATGTTACCAGATACGCAACTGTTTACAGATTTTGTGCTATAAAACATTCATTATCTTAACAAGTTAAATGTTGACTTCCGGCACGCTACACAGAGAGTGAAACTGCAATAATAATAATACAGAAAAGAATAAATAAAAAATGTTTTTGTTGCACAATGATATCTGCTCCCCATATTGTATAACCTGTTTGCAATTCCTCCCCTGCGTGGAAACCATGACAAAATCATACACTACCGTTTACGCTTCATATGTTATTATTATTATTATTATTGCCATTTATATAGCGCCAACAGATTCCGTAGCGCTTTACAATATTATGAAAGGATAACCTCGTTGCAAATTATCCCCTGCGTGTAAAAAAAATAAAAAATGCTGCACAACTGTATCGGTTACCCATATTGCATGACCTGTTTGCAATTCATCCCCTGCGTGAGAACCATGTTTAAGAAATATGATTCAATAAAGACAGATTTAACACAAATATCATCCATGAAAAATATTCAGAAAAAAGGAAGAGTGCGAAAATGAGCCAAGCAGTGTATGTCAAAATTTATAAACAATAAATATACGTAGAAATATAGATTTTGGTTTTTTTTTTTTACCGCTCCTCCTTTCTTTCCTCTGTTACTCAATTCTCACTTGATCTGTGAATAAAGTTGACATTTAGTAACTGCCCCATGCCATCTTTTTTCACACCAGTCGTTTATTTCTTTGGCGCCATAAGTGGAAAATCAAACACAGAATCAAATAAACATGCACGGCTATCACGCTAGTCGTTTGTTTTGTGATAAGTCCAAATGGCGCTTCGCAGATAGCGAATTGAGCAGAAGAGCCAATTGGCAAAAATTTGGACAAGACCAAAGGCACAAGTCTAATAATTCCGGAAGTGCCAATTTTGCTATTAATCCACAGAGATACTTTGTTAATGGGTACTTACTGAAGTGCCAGTTTTGATGGACACCCACAAAGTACTCTAAGTGTAAATGTTAATGGGGGCCTACTGAGGTGCCAATGTTGATGGGTGTCTAAAAGGTGCCATATTTTTTGCACCCCCACTAAGTGGCCAGTTTTGATTGGCATCCAGTAAGGTGCAAGCACAGATCAGTGCCCATCGCTGTGCCATGTTCATGGATGTCATCTTTTATGAGAACCCAACAAGATGACAGTGACTGGTACCAGAATTTTCCTATTTACCTTTAGCAGGCATTAAAATGATGAAGCTTCATTATATTTTTTGTGTTTATAAGATATAATATTCTAAATGCAGAAAAATTAAAATGATAGAAACATGTTATATATGAGATTTGCCCGTGACCTGTGGTAATATGTAGAGAGAAACTCTCCGAAAGAACAAATATGTTATCCCTTCGGGTACTGGAATGAAAATAAAACGCATTCAATAACAGGGAGCAAGGGCTGGAACATTTTAGGTGCCAATGCGCCCCCTGCTGGATAACTAAAGAACTTTTACATTCCAAGTTTTATTCGCTAAACGGGGAATTGTACAGAATTGATAAGGGAAATTCAGTGTATAAGCCAAAATAAACCAGAATCTGGTTATTTTATTCAAAATTTGCAAATTCCTTGTATGCATTGACTACAATTTCCAATTTAGTGAATTAACTATATTTTACTTTTATGAGGTACAGAAATGGAAAATTTTAAACTTTTGTTCGCCGAAGGCGTATTTATATAGCAATTTACAGGACTAATCACTAAAATTTAAAGTGATGGCTCAGAGAATTTATCTAGTTTGTCTATTTTGACTTTAAATTTTAAATTAACTTTGAATTCTCACCTTAGTCAATATAAACTACAACACCTCTCTGTAATAAACCCCTACATCCAGGGATCTGTCACTTTAAATACAGTCTCACTCGCTACTAAACAGGAAATGTGTAAGGACTCACCGGAGAATTGTAAATATTGGGATAAAATCTTCAAATTGGAAAAAGTCACTATTTTAACCTAAATTTAGAAATTCCCAGTTTAGTTCTCAATTCTTATTTCAACAAATAACCCTGCTTTTTCACTCAAAACTGCTTTCTGTAGAAACAATGTGATTTGAGGCATTATTTTGAATTTTTAGAATCTATTTATTTTAAAACTTTGACTTTCCTTCCTACCAGGTACTGTCAGTTCCTAGTGAAATCAGGCACAGAGCCCAGGGATGGGGTTTAGTATCAATGTAATACTATTTATTCAAAGATTTTTTTTTACTTTTAGAAATGCATGCTAAATGCTAAAATTGAAGGTGGTAGCGTGGGTTTTGTAAGGCCCCGGAGAAAAGGGCGATTCGGTCACTCTCATTGCCACACTCCACGATTACTCACAAGGAATGAGAGATGTATGACCTCACTCACACTCACTTGGAAGGCTTATTCAATAAACAGTAAGCCAACAAATGGAAGCTATGTACCAAGCTCCAAATGTATCTTCAATTAATAAAATATGGAAAAATATAAGCACTTCGCCCCAAATTACAGTTTGGTTATTCATGGAGATACTGATCTGAAGGCAGGAGATTATGGCTCTCGTCCAATAAATACGGTTTAAACCTGGTTGGTCGGTATAATGATGCCAAAGTATGAACCTTTTCATTATCACAGAGACTTACATGATTATTCACTAAAAGTAAGAATTCAAAGCGAATTTCAAGTTTAAGGTCAAAATAGCTGATCTGGATTCACTTTCCTGAATAACTGTTATACCAGAAGGCACCCCTCAACTCCCTCCCCACCCCTGCTCCCCCAAAACTGGATTGTTGGGATTTTTTGGTTGTTTTATTGGGGGAGGGGGATGGGTGTGGGGTGACACAGAGAATATGGTCCTGAAATATAAATCTGTCCCTGATCCTCCGGTTTCCCCATGCAATGCCACTCACCCCATGTCCAATTTAATTTTATCTGTACCCCCAATCTTGTACCCCTCCATGAACTCTCATCTATACACCTCCTTTTGTTCCCTATTTCCCAGATTCCCCCTCTTCCTTATTCCAAGATATCCCATATCTTCATTCCCATCTCTCCCCTTCCCCCCTTGAAAAGTCTTAACCCCCCCCCATTCCTTGGTAATGCCCCCTCCACCCCCCATGCCCTGCTCTCACTCCTTATCCCCTGCTTTCACTGCCCCCTCCACCCCCCATGCCCTGCTCTGCTCTCCCTCTTTATCCCCTGCTCTCCCTCCTTATCCCCTGCTCTCCCTCTTTATCCCCTGCTCTCACTGCTCTCCCTCCTTATCCCCTCCTCTAACTGCCCTCCCCCATGCCCTGCTTCCCCACTGCTCTCTCTCCTTATCCCCTGCTCTCACTGCCCCCTCCCCTCTCCCATGCCCTGCTCTCACTGCTCTCCCTCTTTATCCCCTGCTCTCACTGCTCTCCCTCCTTATCCCCTGCTCTCCCTCCTTATCCCCTGCTCTCCCTCTTTATCCCCTGCTCTCACTGCTCTCCCTCCTTATCCCCTGCTCTAACTGCCCCCCCATGCTCTGCTCTCACTGCTCTCCCTTCTTATCCCCTGCTCTCACTGCCCCTCCCCTCCCCCATGCCCTGCTCTCCCTCCTTATCCCCTGCTCTCACTGCTCTACCTCCTTATCCCCAGCTCTCACTGCTCTCCGTGAAAGCTGCCCAGTGTGTAGTACATTCTGCGGCCGCTAGATGTCGCCGGCACACCCGGGAGGGAGGGGGGAGGTTGTCTCAGTCCCTCCCGGCCGCACAATGACTGACACGGACCAAAGTTATCCCGGAATAAGGGGAGCACGCATGTGCACGGACCCGGATGTGAAAGGCTCCTGTAACGGGCCCGCTGCGGCTGATCCGGGCTGTGCCGAGCCGTGCGATTCCGGGCCGTGCCAGGGCCAAACCGTGCCACCCGCATCTGAGCATGGAGCAGCCGGGGAGGGGGGCACGCAGCTAGACCCGGGACTGTCCCGTGCCAAAAATATCCCCCATTGGCTTAAATGTCCACACCATCTATCATTAACCATTTAAAGAACATCAAACAGCATATTTGTGAGGTTCAGGGGCCCATCACACAGAGCAGATCCCCAATAAAGCTCTGTCCCACATGGGCACGGGTTTACTAACACGGGTTTATTCAGGGGAATCAGTAAATGGGCAGAGCCCTGATTTGTGTGGGTCATCTTATGGGCTCCAAAGAATCAAATAGTTAACAAAGTTAAATAAATTATCTACTAAATGTATATCCTGGGATTTGAAAGTTGTTGGAACTTAGAAAAATATGTATATATTTTATTATAAGTCACATTGAGCACATATTTATAAGTACGTTTGCACTTAATAAGGTCCCTTCTCAGTTTAGAGGTTTAGGACCAACTCTAGATTAATAGAAAATATTATTTTGGGTGGAGGTATCCTGGGATTTTGGTAGGAAAGGAGTACCCAAATTACGCTTTTCTTGCCCGTTTTTTATTATATTATTTTTTGGTGGAGGTCATGGATTTCCGCGGTAAGAAGTATGAGCGAGGCAGTAACTGGTCAGACCCAGAGGTGGTGGAGCTTCTCCAGCTCTGGGGCAATGAGTCCGTACAGATGGAACTGGAGAGCTGCCTTCGCAACCAACACGTCTTTAACCGGATCGCTGATGTGCTCAGGGAGAAGGGCATCCACCGTACCGGGGACCAGTGTCGAGAGAAGATAAAAAAGATGAAGCTTGAATACCGGAGGCTGAAGGAGAACAGCAAGACAATGCGCAGTGGGAGAGCCTGGAAGTTTTATGAAGTGATGGACAGGGTCTTAACTCACCGACCAACATTATCATATGGGTCTTTGGGACCTGGAGGAGTGTTAGCCCAACCTTTGTTGCAAGGGCCATTATCTGATGGCTTTCATACCCACTTCCCCCAATATGGTCATACTCAACACCCAGAGCTAATGGAGATCAAATGTGAGGAGGTACAGTCAGATGAACAATGTTTGACTCCAGAACCACCTCCTTCGATGACGTATATCCAGGATTCAGGAGGAGAACAAGAGGAGGAGGATCATACGATTCTAGAGAGAGGACCTGAAGACTCGCCTATTTCTAGGGTGGAGGTAGCAGGTGAAGCCAGTGTATCACCTTCAGGTATGGTCATTGAACATTGAAATTAGTGTATTCTGATGACCGAATGTATTTACCTCTCATGACCAGAGTAACCTCATTTTAATATAGAAACGTCATAATATAATCATGTGGGATATATTTTAAGAGTTGAAAAGTCACAAAGTGAGATCTTAAATGTTATTTGATGAGACCTTTTCTCAAGATTAAAATACATAGCCTTAGAATAAAATAAGAATTTCTGTTCTCAAACTTTTCACCGTTTTGTAAAGCTCCCCTGATTAAAGACATGGTTTGGAAATATTCTTTCTGGCAATTGAAGCCATGCTATGTCTATGTCACTGTGGGTGGAGCCTTCCACGTTATTGCACAGGCTTTATAACAGTGATGCGCTAACCTCTGACATTACAAATTTTGTAACCTATGGGTGATATTTATGAGAGTGTCCTGAAATTTGGCAGAATATGGGGTGCTTAAATTTAATTATTATTTTGAGCGACCTAAAAACTCATTTTTTTCTTGATAGTAAATTTTCCCAATATTCCAGAAAAGTCCATTTGAGAAACCTGCCAAATTTATAGTAGAGGAAAAATTGGTGGAAATATTAAAAAAATCTGTTGCGTTGGCGACAATAGACACATTTTAAAACTTACAGTTAGGGAGCAAATAAAGCAGATGATGGGGAAAAAAGCCAACAGATTTAATAAACTGCACCAAAAATTCACTGGAAATTAGACGGAAATTCACTAAAGTGAGAAATTGCTGGGGATTCAAAGTGAATTTAGAAATTTAGGCAAAATTAGTTGATATAGAACAATTTTCCAAGTAATTTCTGTGCTCAGTCTGGCTACTTTTGCCTTATATATACAGGGTTCTTGATTTTGAGAATACAAAGTGAATTTCAAAATTTAGGTCCAGACTAGCTGAATGTATCGTTGACTTAGAGAGTTTTTCGTGTTCGGCTACTTTTAACATTCATTTTGAAATACATTGAATACAGTACTCACTTTATTGAATAACCCTGTTAAAAATTAAAGGAGCACTATAGTGCCAAGAAATCAAACCCGTTTTCCTGGCACTATAGGGTTAATAGGCCCCCCTCCTGCAGGGCTCAAGGTGTTAAAACCCCTTCAGCCACTTACCTTAATCCAGTGCCGGGCTCCCTCGGCACTGGTGACCTCTCCTCCCCCTGCCGACGTCAGCTCTGAATGCGCGTCCAGAGCCGCACGCACGCGCGCTCATTGAAACCGCCCATAGGAAAGCATTACTCAATGCTTTCCTATGGACGTCCAGCGTCATCTCAGTGTGATTTTCACACTCAGAATCGCGGAAGCGGCCTCTAGTGGCTGTCAGGGAGACAGCCACTAGAGGCTGGATTAACCCTCAACGTAAACATAGCAGTTGCTCTGGCACCCAGACCACTTCATTGGTGGTCCTTTAATTTTAAATTCTCAGCAATTCACTTTAGCGAATTACAATGTTTGATAAATCTCCACTAAAGGAAGCTAAGCCAACAAAATTACTGCCATAGGTTAATATAGCTGTAGAACTGGATGGTTTTAGAACAGGAGTGCAGATTGTCCCCTTAGTCATCTCTATCGTTGGGTAGATTGCAGTAAGAGAGCCTAATCCAATTATATCATCACAAGGTTACCACATAGGGCTGAGATTTCTAATGTATTAAAGAGACACTATAGTCCCCAGAACTAAAATTACAGGTTAATGTATTTTTTAAAAGTGAGTATAGTCATTCTCTTCAGGCGTTTTGCTGTAAACACTGTCTTTTCAGAGAAAATGCAGTGTTTACATTACAGCCAAAGGACGCCTTCAGAGGCCTCACAGACAGATACTAGAGGTGCTTCCAGGGGCAGTGCTGCACAATGTGCAGCACTGACAGTCAGGATTTCCGCCCTCTTAATGGAGACACTAAACTTTTGTCATAGATATGCATTGATTCAATGCATCTCTACAAGGAGATGTTGATTGGCCAGGGCTGTGTTTGGCTGTGCCCCTTTCCTGCCTCCTTGGCTAAGATCATCAGAATTGACAATCTCACCCAATCCCATGATTTCCTTCTGATGATGTCAGTTAAGCAGACAGATCAAGGGCAGAGCCAGCATCAGCAGACTGGAATAAAGGTAAGATTTTTCTGTATTTAAGGGGACAAGAGGGGGCCAGATGGTGTGTTTTTAAAGGGACTCTCCAGTGCCAGGAAAACAAACAGTTTTCCTGGCACTGCAGGTCCCCTCTCCCTCCCACCCCCCATCCCAAGTTGCTGAAGGGGTTAAAACCCCTTCAGTTACTTACCTGTATCCAGCGCCGATGTCCCTCGGCGCTGGGTCAGGGTCCGCCCACGCTCCTCCCCCCGCCATCGTCATCCAGCGTGGGAGACCTATTGAGCATGAGCGGCTGCCAGGGGAGACCTAATGCGCATGCGCGGCAATGCCGCACACGCGCATTAGACCTCCCCTTAGGAAAGCATTGAAAAATGCTTTCCTATGGGGATTTCAGCAACGCTGTAGGTCCTCACATAGGGTATAAACACGGAAGTGCCCTCTAGTGGCTGTCTATTAGACAGCCACTAGAAAGAGGAGTTATCCCTGCAAGGTAAATATTGCAGTTTATGAAAACTGCAATAATTACTCTTGCAGAGTTAAGGGTTGTAGGAGTTTGCACCCAGACCACTCCAATGGGCAAAAGTGGTCTGGGTGCCTGGAGTGTCCTTTTAACACTATAGGGTCAGGAATACATGTTTGTGTTCCTGACCCTATAGTGTTCCTTTAATAGGGAGGACCATATGTTGGTATATTGTATACATTCATCATAGTCAGCTAAAAAAACAGAATGTCAACTTAACCTGATTTACTTAAAAACAATGTACTAAAGTAAGAATTTAAAGTGATTTTCAAATTCAAGGTAAAAATAGACAAACTGGAAAAAAATCTGTTAGCTATGTTTCCAGGTCGGCTACTTTGGTCTTAAATTTGAAATTCACTTTAGTAAATAAATCTGATAGTGTTTAAAGCAGCATGTGAAGAGTCATGACAGTGGTGCTGCAGTGGTGAGAGTGCAGGGTAATAATTATAGTGCACATTACAATTGCAGACAATGTAACTCTGTATTCTAAGAGTGTAGGAGTGAATCTCCTAAATATAAAGGAATCAGGACACGCCCCTTCAACCTCCCTCTAATATAAAGGAATCAGGACGCACCCCTTCAACCTCCCCCTAATATAAAGAAATCAGGACACGCCCCTTCAACCTCCCTCTAATATAAAGGAATCAGGACGCACCCCTTCAACCTCCCCCTAATATAAAGGAATCAGGACACGCCCCTTCAACCTCCCCCTAATATAAAGGAATCAGGACACGCCCCTTCAACCTCCCTCTAATATAAAGGAATCAGGACACACCCCTTAAACCTCCCCCTAATATAAAGGAATCAGGACGCACCCCTTCAACCTCCCCCTAATATAAAGGAATCAGGACACACCCCTTCAACCTCCCTCTAATATAAAGGAATCAGGACACGCCCCTTCAACCTCCCTCTAATATAAAGGAAGCAGGACACACCCCTTCAACCTCCCCAAAATATAAAGGAATCAGGACACACCCCTTAAACCTCCCCCTAATATAAAGGAATCAGGACACTGCCCTTCAACCTCCCCCTAATATAAAGGAATCAGGACACGCCCCTTCAACCTCCCCCTAATATAAAGGAATCAGGACACAGCCCTTCAACCTCCCCCTTATATAAAGGAATCAGGACACAGCCCTTCAACCTCCCCCTTATATAAAGGAATCAGGACACACCCCTTCAACCTCCCCCTTATATAAAGGAATCAGGACACGCCCCTTCAACCTCCCCCTTATATAAAGGAATCAGGACACGCCCCTTCAACCTCCCCCTTATATAAAGGAATCAGGACACAGCCCTTCAACCTCCCCCTAATATAAAGGAATCAGGACACTGCCCTTCAACCTCCCCTAATATAAAGGAATCAGGACACAGCCCTTAAACCTCCCCCTAATATAAAGGAATCAGGACACTGCCCTTCAACCTCCCCCTAATATAAAGGAATCAGGACACGCCCCTTCAACCTCCCCCTAATATAAAGGAATCAGGACACAGCCCTTCAACCTCCCCCTTATATAAAGGAATCAGGACACAGCCCTTCAACCTCCCCCTTATATAAAGGAATCAGGACACACCCCTTCAACCTCCCCCTTATATAAAGGAATCAGGACACGCCCCTTCAACCTCCCCCTTATATAAAGGAATCAGGACACGCCCCTTCAACCTCCCCCTAATATAAAGGAATCAGGACACAGCCCTTCAACCCCCCCCTTATATAAAGGAATCAGGACACGCCCCTTCAACCTCCCCCTTATATAAAGGAATCAGGACATGCCCCTTCAACCTCCCCCTAATATAAAGGAATCAGGACACACCCCTTCAACCTCCCCCTAATATAAAGGAATCAGGACACAGCCCTTAAACCTCCCCCTAATATAAAGGAATTAGGACTCATTATACAGTGTCTGGATACACCCCTCTCCTTATACACAGTGTCTGGATACACCCCTCTCCCTATACACAGGTGTCCGGATACACCCCTCTCCCTATACACAGTGTCCGGATACACCCCTCTCCTTATACACAGTGTCCGGATACACCCCTCTCCTTATACACAGTGTCCGGATACACCCCTCTCCTTATACACAGTGTCTGGATACACCCCTTTCCCTATACACAGGTGTCCGGATACACTCCTCTCCCTATACACAGTGTATGGATACACCCCTCTCCCTCTATACACAGTGTCTGGATACACCCCTCTCTCTCTATACACAATGTCTGGATACACCCCTCTCCTTATATACAGTGACTGGATACACCCCTCTCCTTATACACAGTGTCTGGATACACCCCTTTCCCTATACACAGGTGTCCGGATACACTCCTCTCCCTATACACAGTGTATGGATACACCCCTCTCCCTCTATACACAGTGTCTGGATACACCCCTCTCTCTCTATACACAATGTCTGGATACACCCCTCTCCTTATATACAGTGACTGGATACACCCCTCTCCTTATACACAGTGTCTGGATACACCCCTTTCCCTATACACAGGTGTCCGGATACACTCCTCTCCCTATACACAGTGTATGGATACACCCCTCTCCCTCTATACACAATATCTGGATACACCCCTCTCCCTATACACAGGTGTCCGGATACACTCCTCTCCCTATACACAGTGTATGGATACACCCCTCTCTCTCTATACACAGTGTCTGGATACACCCCTCTCTCTCTATACACAATGTCTGGGTGCACCCCTCTCCCTATACACAGTGTCTGGATACACCCCTCTCCTTATACGCAGGTGTCTGGATACACCCCTCTCCCTATACACAGTGTCTGGATACACCACTCTCTCTAGATACATTGGTTCTTTGTTGAACTGTCTGCACTGAGCTGATCTCCAGGACACATTGCTGAGGTGAGGAGAAACTGTCCTGTGATATTCCTGTGGAATTTAGAGAACGTTCTTTCCTTAGAAACTACACAGCTACTGCCCACATACCTGAAGTGATACAGAGGGGCAAACAAGTGGTACTGTCAGTGTGTCAATTTCCTGCAGCTGGTCAGTAGACGGTCCCTCACCTGGGTATGTAACTCTCTAATCAAATACTTCCCAGTTTCTTTGGGCAGGTAGGTTTCACAAAGTTAATTCATCCAGGTTAACATGCAATCCTCCCTTCTTGCTGGATTAGCACTAACCCCTAGTATACTCAGCCGGCAGAAGTGTCTCCCAGCTGTACTTAGACATTATTGTAGCATCTGCTTTGAAAGTAAAATAAAATATTAGGAAATAACCTAATTGAGATCAGTTCTTCGCGTGGTAGTGCCTTGACTGTTTTTCATTTGTCCTGCGTTGATAGCAATGACTGCAAAGTGTCCTGGAAGTTATGGCAAAGCGAATTGCGGGAAGAAATAGCGCTGTGATACAGGATGAGCTATTCATTCATCGTGGTAGCGAAATAGCGTTAAAAAAATACATTGTGACACATACAAAACTCTGAGCTGGCAATATTTTCCTATGACAGATGAATTTTGTCTGTCATTCTCTGTCATAAAAAAAATTATTAGATTGCTATTTTTTTTGTAATTTTTTTTAATGAAAAGAGGTAAAAAAAAAATTGAAGGGGTTAAAGACTAAAACAAACAACATTTGAGGTGCACATGTTGACGCAGGAATATTGAAATACCGTACCTACAGCTGTGATTGAACTATAAACCCCTTTGAACTTTTGACAGCCAAAAACGCAGCATGTGGCTGGCAAAGGTCCATGGGATTTTGAACAGCTGGCAATGAATCCGGAGCCATGCTTGTGCACTCTTGCTCTGTAAGTTAAAAGGATACTTTATGCACCAAAACCACATCTTCTTAAAGTTTTGGTGCATAAAGTTTGTCCCTGCACTCTGCCGTTTGTGAGAAACTGCAATGTTAATATTTATCACTAATGATACATCTAGTGCAGGGGTGGGAAACCTTTGGCACTTTAGATGTTGTGAACTGAAGGTTTCTTACCCCTGTGTCTAGTGCAGGAGTGCCCAAAAAGTTGATCCCCAGATGTCGTAGAACTAAAAACTCCCTTGACGCTTTGCATGCCTTTACAATGACAAGGCATCATGGAAGCTGCAGTTTTAAACATCTGAGGATCTACCTTTTGGGCACCCCTTTTCTAGTGGCCGTCAATGAGAGAATCAGTGTATCAGACATCCATTAGGAGCACTTCCTAATAAACACTTTCAGTAATTAAAAGCTTTCATCTTTGGAGTCACATTTCTTCTGTGTATGAGCTGTGAAACTACAGGACCATTTCATTCAGATAAAATGGCCTGGGTACATTTAGCTGTCATTTAAGGATTATCCAGATGATCGTCAGATGTTATGGCTTTTTATTTCTTTTTTTTTTTTTTTTAAACTAAATGTTTTTATTGTTAGAGCGTAACTTTAGGTTGTCAGCAGAAGAATCCCTTCACTGGATCTTTTAGCATTGCTCCCCTTTCTGGTACTGGATTAGTTAAAAGGTGCACAGCCTGACAGGGTGATGCATAATGCAGGAATTATCTGGAATAAAGTGCGGTATCATGTTCGTTAAATAATCCGTCCTGTAGGGTAACTAGCTGAAAGCACCCACTCAGTCTTGCAGTTTCTACAAGCTCCAAACATACAGTCAGTAGTTTGTGATGCAGGCAGCTATCTGTAAATATGTACTGCTCAGCGTGAAATCTCCGGAGTATTTCGGAACCCCGCTGGTTGCAGTCAAGACCCCCACAAAACGCTGCCCTGTCCTAAAAGTAATCACAGGGAGCGCCTTTTTCGGTAAGTCAAGAAAGGTTGTAATAACAGCCCCAACTACTTTATCCAAACATCTTTTGGAAAAGGAAAGAATGTTGCTGTTGACAGCTGAAATTTTGATGGCAATCCTGTCTTTCAAGGCTCTGACAGTCAGGGAAGCGAGTCCTGCAAACAGCATGACTGATATTACATAAGCCGTAGCGTAGAATGGGAGATAAGTGACTGAATGAAAGATACTATATATGCGATGAGCTATTAATATGTAGGTAACTTTTTACACATAGATAATCGCAATCAATATAACGTAGTGAAGCGTAACCCTTAAATACTAAATACTAAACTCTAAACCTATCTCCTACCACCTACCTCTGGATCATTTAACCACTTTCACTAGGAAGTTCTTTGCAAAAAAAAAAAGGGTGGGTGGGGGGCTTGATTTCATAATATAGGTATTTAATTGCATTTCAACGCAATTCTTGCACATTTTTATTATTGCAGTATGGCGCCAATTCCGCAAACGCCTTACAATGACGTTGTTCCTTTCTCAGATTGTTAAAGATTTTTCCTTCTACCGTTACATGTCATTTTAAAATCACTGGGGTCATAGCATAGGCATTGTGTTCTACCAGTAACAGCAAAGTGTAGCAATATGAGTGATATTTTGTCTTATGTAAAAATAAAAAATGGTTTATTCACTAAACAACAAACTTTGGAGAATTGGCAAGGGACCTGCCCATTTTTAGGCAACGATGGACAAATGCCAAAAAATCTTTAATTGCACTTTTTTTCCCCAATTCTTTTCCTGCCAAGTCTCCAACTGCTTGCGTATCTATTGAGATGGGTTATGACTGCATACAACTGCCTTGTTTCTTTATACTGTGAATGAACAGTGTGATTATATTAATTTGTAAGCTTGCTAAATATAAAAACTACGTAACTTAGGATGGCACAGGATGGAAAGAGTTAAGTGAGTTAAAAAAATTTTTTTTATGGAACTACAAGTTTTTGACACTCTAGGACAGGGGTCCTCAAACTCCGGCCCCCCAGATGTTGCTTAACTACAACTCCCATGATTCTTTGAATTACATAGATAACCAGAGAATCATGGGAGTTGTAGTTCAGCAACATCTGAGGGCTGGAGTTTGAGGACCCCTGCTCTAGGGTTTGTTGTTTAGTTGAGAATGATCTGTAAGATTAACAGGTTTATTGATTACAAACCAAATTCTAACAAATTAAGGGCTCAGTTTATATTTTTGGATACGGTTTTCAAATTCTAATATTTTGAAAAATTATTTTAATATAGTGATTTTATATATATTTATGTATTTATTTTGATAGTTTAATATTTAAAACAAAAAAAGGCAAACATTTTTATATTTTATATTATCCACAAGTATTACATAATTTCAAAAGCTTAATCAAAAATAATCAAAACCCAAATCAGAATGGAAAAACAGAGTAAAGAATAGCTGATCTGGAACATTATCCATGTCAGCCATAGTCACAAGTTTTTCCACTTGGCTTTAATTTGCAAAAATGTGAAGTTTACTGAATAGCCCTGTAAGTGTTTGCAATTTTGATCACTAACCACTTATTGGTTGTCTAAAGATCACAACACATTTTAAATTGTAGGTGTTTTTTTTTTGTTTTTTTTACATAACTCCTATATTAGTACCAGTCCCCACCAAGAGGGGTCCCAGTTCTGATAATTACCGATCGTGATTTGGGAAACATTGCTAGTCTTTTCTGGTAATGAAGCAAACAACATCAGGACTAGGTTTATAGTGGAAACAGGTCTGGACACAGCCAGTACGAACACCTGCTCATAGATCTGTGCACTCGAGGTAAGGCGTATACAAGAAGCGATACTGCAACACACATTACTTTGGGGCTGATGTAGAGACTGCGTAACTTTATGACTTTAACGCTTTCGTCCTGATTTATCTATATTACACAAATTACAGAATGGTGGTTTTTATTTATTTTTTTGGGTGGACCCTGCTTTGTTTTTAAGGCACTAAGTAAGGTGTGTTATTGAATAACATTGTTTCGGGAGCGGAATTGTGATTTGCTAATGCTCCGCATTGAAAGGGTTAAGTTATGGAGTCTACCATACCCCAACAATTACAGGAACGACAAACTAGGGGCTCCACCAGACACCCTCAATGTTTGACAAGGATGCAGTAAATATGGCAAACCTGACCCAGGGTTATTCAATAAAGTGGGACTCTCTGGAATTTCAAATTGGATTTAAAACTCCAGCTCACATTTTAGCTGAATTTTGAAATTAACCCTATGAGTGGTAGCGTCATAGTGTGTTTTCTGTGTTTTCATTTTGTGTGTGGATCGTAATATCAGTTTGTGATCGGGTTAAACTTTTTGTAGCAGAGTTGAAGTTCGGTGTATTATGCAATGCAGCGATCGACTCAGAAGGGGTGAAATATAAATTAAACAGAAGCGTTGACTCTATGGACAGTCTGGTATCCTCAGGTACTCATAAAAACCTGTCTCTGTTCCTCATATATATTTAAGTTTTAATATATTTTAAATGTAAAATTTATATCTGTACTTTTGTAGATGTACTTTTTATTTTTGTATTTTTTTTTTAAACTTACATTTTTTTATTATTTCCTTTTTAGGCTTCAGTGAATCTAATATGGCGGGATCTTCGGGTCCCAATGGTCGACAGAACCTATGGAGAAAGAGGAAAGTCCGGGAACCTTTGGAGGAACTGATTTCACGGATGCTTACTGCCCAGCGGGCTACAGAAGAGAGGTTCCTACAGATGGAGGAACGCAGGATGGAACAAGAACAAGAGGCAGATGAACGTCGAATGCGTCTGGAGGAGAGAAGGCTGCAACTGGACCGCCAGCACGAACTGCGCATGTTTAGTGTTTTTGCCCAGATGCTTGGTATGTTGCGTCCTGGAGGGGCCGAGTCTGTACCCCAACCTCATGTGGATCCTGGGTACCCTCAGGAAGGGGAGTCTCTTGTTAGATCTGGAGCTGGAGTGGTCCAGGAGTCAGAACTCTCTGAGGTGTATAATTGTAATCCGTTCAATAGCCCGTATCTCTCCACCCGTGGGAACATCTTGAGTGGCTTCCGTGGCTCGTCAGAGGAGGGATACCGGGCTTATCATGAGGACAAGTATGATGAGGACAAGAATCCTAATGTGAGTCAACTTTGTCTGCATGTCTCTTCTCTTGTACTCTAGAACTTTGGCCAGCAGCTTGAATTACCCTTTATTAGACATTCCCAACTGTCTTCCCAACAAATCCCATGATCCTCAATGCTTTTTTTCTTTTTTGTCTTTTTTCATTGTAGAGGTTAATTAAGAATCATGAGATTTGTAGCTCAGCAGTCTCTCTGCACCCCAACTTCTAACCACAGATTATTTTTTTTTAGCCAAAATTAACTGGAGAAATACTGTGACTTCCTAATGTGCCTAAAATGTGTAAATGATCCGGCAATGAAAAGGGTTTTTAGCTCTGACTTTATCCAAAAGGAGGTCCTATGTTTCTGATGTATGTTCAATTATTCTAAAGATATTAAATGACATATTTTGGTCTGTGGCTCATGGTCATTTCACGGGATTGTAGTCTGTCCAGCATTGACAGGGTCCAACTTTTGGTTAAATCCGTGTACCCCTTGCAGTAAAAATGTGCGTGTCTAGATTCCTTACAGGTGGGCATTTGTGCCTATGCCATGGGCATTGCGCCTCTTGTGCACTGTGTGGACTAGGGTAGAGAAATTGCTCTTCCATTTTTTTTTCTTTTCCTCATGGGCCGTGTTAACGACAATTAGACGTGTCTTCAGATTAGAAGTAAGGAAGCTTCAAATTAAAAATTCACAGAAAAACTAGCCAAATCTTCGACTTTAACTATTGCAGATAACTTACATGTGTGGAACCAGACTGATACATAAATGCTATAGGTTCTCTCTCCAATGGCACGACTGACCAAAATTCATTTGAGACTTCAGTTGCAGATTAATTGTAGATGTAACAAGCTATAAAACCTTTGTTCCTTTCTCAGTGTTTGTCCCTTAAGTTGTGCGTGCCTTGTTTATGGTATTCAAGGTACGTGAAATGCAATTAATTTGTGCACTTTCATTTCAGGTAAATGTTTTTGGTAAGTCATAACAGAAGTTTTAATATAATCTGTTAATTTTCACCAGGGCATCATCAACTTCGGCACCAGTGAAAATAAACTGTGCTTTGACCTAATGTCCAAACGGGTAGGTGAACATTTGCTTCAACAATGTGAACTGTGATACTGATGGAAGTAGGATAGATTATAGAATAGAATTACTGAATTTCAAGCAATTAAAAATTCATGTCTATTTGGAACAGTTACACTATTACAGCTGTGGTGAGATCAAATGTCATCTACACTGATTTAGTTGAGGAAATTCCAAACGTTACTGCTATGCATTATTCACGTCTTCCATTGCAAGACTTATAAAAAAAAAAGCCTGCATCAGATAGGGTAATTCTGAATAATTTCATTTCAACAATTCTCCCAGAATGCCTTGATAAATATGCAAATAAGATCTGATTGCAATAACCTTTTGTAATATTCCAAACCCATATTTTGTAACCCATAAAACAACATGTCATTGCTTAAGGAGCCAGCATAAACGTGGGTTTAGAATCTAAAAAGTGACGACTGTCTGTGCTTATTTAAATATCAATTTTGGCTTTCTGGGAAAATTGTGGAAACATAATATTTTTGAGTTTCTCTGTCCGAGGCAAATCCTTTGTAAGCTTTACTGTTTTATATATAGGGGAGGCAAAATAGTACATTTCTGAATTTATATATAGCTATACAAATAAAAATGCACTTTGAATTTTGGGTAAATTAATTGTTAGATTGCATAAAATCTGGCATACTTTCATTCCGTTTCGAGATTTGGTGGGCCACCCATGGACCCGCTGTGGGGGTGTGTAAACACTGCCATATTTTTATGTTGGAGCCTGTTTGTTTTGTTTGTGCGCTGATCAGTGTTTGCCTTTTGTTTGTTATCTCATTTAAAAAATGTTTTTCTTTTTACATTTTGTTTTGTTCTTTTTAAGTCTGAGGCTTTATGCAATTTTAATGTTTTACTCCTTAACCCCTAAAGGACACATGACATGCGTGACATGTCATGATTCCCTTTTATTCCAGAAGTTTGGTCCTTACAGGGTGAAAGACTAGGGATCGGACTAATCCTTTACATTTCAAAGATGCCATTGGAACTTTAGAGGTTAAACATTTTGACAAATCCCCTTAACAAAGGCTTTCAGGGTCTTTTCTTGTTCAAAATGCTTCGATAAGGGAATTTAGTTAGTGGCCTAAAAACATTTATACTTTGCAAGACGTTTTTAGGTACAGTCTGCACATTTTTTGTCAAACGTAGAAACATAGAATGTGACGGCAGATAAGAACCATTCGGCCCACCGAGTCTGCCCAATTTTCTAAATACTTCCATTAGTCCCTGGCCTTATCCCACGCATGCTTAAACTCCCTCACTGTGTTAACATCTACCACTTCAGCTGGAAGGCTATTCCATGCATCCACTACCCTCTCAGTAAAGTAATACTTCCTGATATTATTTTTAAACCTTTGTCCCTCTAATTTAAGACGATGTCCTCTTGTTGTGGTAGTTTTTCTTCTATTTTAAATATAGTCTTGCAGAGGGGCTGGGCTTTGGGTACAAACCCATGTAATTCTAAATATCTTGTTATGGAGAGTTTTACAAACAGGATTTGTTAAATATTAAAAAATATACCTCTTTTCCTCCGGTTTCAGGAATATTTCACATGTTAGATTTCTTTTGTTGATCTTTAATATGGTTGCTAGTCAATATTGAGGGTCAAATATGAGTTCAGGGGTAAAGGATGGGTCTGAGGTTGCCAGATCTATCATGTCTCTTGCTAGATACATATTACTTCAACATACTGTGTGGCAGGACATGAAAGTGCTCCCTGATAAAATGTAACTCATTAAATGATCCCAAAGAAGACTCATATTATATAATTAAAAGGACACTATTTTTAAAACTGCACTGTAAGCACAGTATTTGACGGTTCAATTTGACTCTCAGATATGAAGTGCAACGCAGGCCGCAAATGTACTATTTAGCACCAAAAAGTTTGATTTTTTTAAACCAACAATGTAACAGTAGTATTTAAGGGTTTTATTGGACTGCAAGAAATGCAGTACTCAAATGTACTATTTAGCACCAAAAAAAATTGCAGTATTTAAAATTGCCTAGATGTTGCCCACTGAGCTACCAGAACAGGATTCAAGTAATGTGTCTGGCACACATGCAGTTGCAAGTGCACTGCCCTCTCGGTGGCACTGGGCTCAAGGCAGGGTACAAAAATGTAGTATTATAGCACCCACAAAAATAATCGCTGTAGTTTGCAGATTCAACACCAGAATTATTACTAATTTGTCCCTCACAGCTGCAGCATCCACTCCCTACATTAATAAGAGCTCATGTGCGTGCGGCGCCACGTGACTCCAGTTTATATATAGAGGCTGGGTCACATGCTGCACTGGCGAATCACAGCCATGCCATTAGTAGGCATGGCTGTGATGGCTTCTAAGGGCACACGAGTCAAATGCTTGTTGATTGGCTGCCCTGCAGCCTTTCAAAACGCGCCATTAAATCGCGCCATTAAAAGCTTGCTGTATTTGTTCTGGTGAGTAGAATCATTCCCTTCAGGCTTTTTCCTGTAAACACTGGCTTTTCAGAAAAAATGCAGTGTTTACATTACAACCTTGGGATACCTCTAGTGGCCATTTCTCAGATGCCCACTAGAGGTGCTTCCTGGGGCAGTGCTGCATGCTGTGCAGCATTGCTATTCAGTGTCTCCACCCTCTGCATGGAGACACTGAGCTTTCCTCATAGAGATGCATTGATTCAATGCATCTCTATGAGCTGTATTTAGCTTGTGCCCGCTCTGCCTCTGATTTGCCTCCTTAACAAGCTTGGCCAATCCAATGCTTTCCTATGTGAAAGCATTTTGATTGGCTCAGATCAACACTTCTGATGATGTCAGCCAAGCAGGCAGATCAGGGGTGGAGAAAGCAGTAGCAGGCTGGAAATAAAGGTAAGATTTTACTATATATGGGGGGCTAGATGGCAATTTTAATACTATAGGGTCAGGAATACATGTTTGTGATCCTGACCCAATAGTGTTCCATTAATGCTGCCTTAAATTCTCCCTAGTACAGGCATATCGCTTTTCATGTACATCCCTACATTGTGGTGAAGCGATATGATCCAAGTAAAGTGTGCGAATATGATAACTATAAATGACCTTTGTCTGCATTGCGTTCTCTGTGAGTAATTCCTTGCTCCTTTGTGTTTCTTCAGTTGACTCAGAGTGATATGAATGTAATAGAGCCTCCTCTCCTGCAGTATCCAGACTGGAAAGGACATAATTTGTGAGTACATGGAAATGCAGACATTCTCCCGTATAACTTTTTACATAAAATAACTTTACCAGACTTTATGGATACAGATCTTTATCGAACCCTCAAAATGCTGACCATTTAAAGTGGAATCTTCAATTCTCTGGAAATTACGTCCCTGAATAAAACATTCAATATCACCTTTTTTCATATTCCTTGAGATGCTTAATTTTTCTATTAAATTCATATTTAACATTTAGCAAATGGCATCGCAGTCCAGCCCAGGCACAGCCACAGTGTAAATGATGAGAAGCAAGAGAAACATTGTTTAATTTCTCCTCTTCTATTATCTCAGTAATATTTAAAAGATTTATTTACCTGAGGGTAAGTAACCTCTCCTTTCCAGGGGACCTAATGGGTATGCATGCCAGGTGCTGGATGCGCATTCAAAATTCCCCATAGGAAAGCATTGAGTCAACGCTTTCCTATGGGGCTTCTGCGTCATGTGACTGAGTTTTACTCGATCAGTGTCACAAAAGTGCCTTTACTGGCCTTCGTACTAACACCCACCAGAGGAGGAGTTAAAGGGGCACTATAGTCACCAGAACAACTACAGCTTAACCCCTTAAGGATACATGACATGTGTGATGTGTCATGATTCCCTTTTATTCCAGAAGTTTGGTCCTTAAGGGGTTAATGTAGTTGTTTTGGTGAGTATAGTCTGTCCCTGCAGGTATTTTAATGTAAACACTGCCTTTTCAGAGAAAAGGTAGTTATTACATTGATGCCTAGTAACACCTCTAATGGTCACTAGAGGTGCTTCCCGGGTCAGTGCTGCACATTTTGCATGTTTTGCATTGCAGGGCTAAGAAGACAGGGACACTGCATTGAGATGAAGTGGTCTGGGTGACAATATCGTTACTTAGCATATCATGATCTTAAATCTTTCATCCAGTCTCACTAACAGTAACTTAGAACTAGACAAATGATGTAGCAAAACATATGACTAAGTGCTTTATCTGGGGTCACTAGTAAAAGATTTAGCCTGCAGGGTGGCAGTGATATAATGTAGCCCTGACATTTAGGTTACCCATAACATATATATGTATATATCACCATAGCGATTGTGTATTGCTCTTTGTTAAAGGACCACTATAGTGCCAGGAAAACATACTCGTTTTCCTGGCACTATAGTGCCCTGAGGGTGCCCCCACCCTCAGGGTCCCCCTCCTGCCGGGCTCTGGGGAGAGGAAGGGGTTAAACACTTACCTTTCTCCAGCGCCGGCAGGGAGCTCTTCTCCTCCTCTTCGGCTGAATGCGCATGCGCGGCAGGAGCTGCGCGCGCATTCAGCCAGTCTCCTAGGAAAGCATTCATAATGCTTTCCTATGGATGCTTGCGTGTTTTCACTGTGATTTTCCCAGTGAGAAGTACACAAACGCCTCTAGCGGCTGTCAATGAGACAGCCACTAGAGGCTTTAGAGGCTGGATTAAGCCGTTTATAAACATAGCAGTTTCTCTGAAACATGCTATGTTTTTAAAAAAAAATGGGTTAACCCTAGCTGGACCAGGCACCCAGGCCACTTCATTAAGCTGAAGTGGTCTGGGTGCCTAGAGTGGTCCTTTAATTATTTGCATGTTTTGTTTTGTGCTTGCATCACCTCTGACTTTTTTCCAAGCACCCTTTTCCACATTGTCCTCCTTTTTCCTTAGTTTGAGAGAAGAAGTTGCTCGCTTCCTGACGTATTACTGCAAGGCTCCAGCCCCTCTGAGTTCTGAAAACGTGAGTATTTTACCAGTTTAATTCACTGTATTCCTCTTGTGTGATTGGAGCTTGTATCACACAGGGCTCTATGTTGTTTGCGTCTGTTTTTTCCATATTTCATTTTGTGCTTTGAGGTAGAATCTTTGCGTGTCTGGGAAGCCAACACTAGCTGGCTAGATGGTCAGTTTAGCCCAGCAACTAATATGAGTTCCAAACAGAAAGCAAATGTTTCAATCCTGTAAAACACACTTTCACGATGCCAAAACGGAGGGGCATATAGGAACATATTAAAGCTTGGTTCATGATGGCAATACCAGCTGCTCACTTAGCACTGTCTAGAGTCTAGACCCTGCCCAAACCAATTGGTCCCTCTTGTCTATAATGCCAAATCTCAAGGCAACATTCACACTTTCATATGGCCATTCCAGTGCTTCTATGAAGTGCACAGTTAGAAAAGAAATGCTGCCCTCTGGTGGCTATTTCTGGAACTGCAGGTTACGAGAATAAATAAACTTCCAGTCTCTTTACAGGCATTATTTTTCTCAAACCTTTAATTGAAATTATCGTATTAAAAAACTTAAATTGGATAATTATAAAGTTTCTACTTGTGTAATACTTTATTGGGGGCATCTACATTGATCTGCTGTGCACGATTTGGTTCCACCGATTTAGATTAAGCTGATATGTCCTGGCTTCTCTGAATTAGGAGTGAATAATTAATTACCTGGACTGATAACAGTGCTTCTCAATATGCTCCCCTTTATTTCAATATGCTCCTCCTATTTAGTCTTGTGCTTCTTACCCACTGTGCAACCCTGCAGAATAAGCACTTTATAAATAAAGATATAATATTATTTCTAATAAAACGGCAAAGGGCAGAGATTCGCCAACTGGCAAAATTCACATACAACTTCAGTATCTCCACTATCTGTCTCTTTAAAAATCTTTAAAGGGGCACTATAGTAACCAGAACAAATACAGGTTATTGTATTTGTTCTGGTGAGTATAATCAGTCCCTTCAGGCTTCAGAGAAAAGATAGTGTTTACATTATAGCCTAGGGATACCTCCACTGGACACTCCTCAGATGGGCTGCTAAAGGTGCATCCTTGGGCAGTGCCGCAGTGTGACTGACATTCAGTGTCTCCATCCTCTGCATGGAGACACTGAACATTCCTTGTAGAGATGCATTAAGGAGATTCTGATTGGCCAGGGCTGTGTTTGGCTTGTGCTGAATCTGCCCCTAATCTGCCTCCTTGACAGTCTCAGCCAATCCAATGCTTTCCTATGTGAAAGCATTGTGATTGGCTATGAATAACACTTCTGATGATGTCAGCCAAGCAGGCAGGTCAGGGGCAGAGCCAGCAGCTACAGACTCGAATAAAAGTAAGATTTTACTATATTTAGGTAGGGCAAGGAGGGCCGGGGAGGCTAGATTGGTGGTTTTAACACTAAAGGCTCAGGAATACATGTTTGTGTTCCTGACCCTATAGTGTTCTTTTAACCCCACGTTATATTTATTTGATTGGTCCTTTACATTCCAGGTCGTTGTACTAAATGGCTGTGGGTCCCTGTTCTCTTCTCTGGCAGCTGTTCTTTGTGATAATGGAGGTAAGTAAGATATTTGTACCCTCCGATCTCTGTCTGGTTGGGGTGACTTATCGAGCAGTCAGATGAACTCCCATTGACACAATGGTGCAAAGTGCTTATGGTGCTTCAATTGACCCTTTAAGTATGTGTGGTGCTTTGAAATGGTGGGTGCTTTGTGTCCATCAACATGTATGATATTGTGAGATAGCAAGCCGGGTGGTTTTTGATCTCTACATTTGCTAACAATTCACCAATCACAGTCTAAGGACCAAACTGTATTAGCTATCCTAAGTGGACCTATTTTATTTACATATGTAGTATAGTATGTATATCGGGACTATGTTAAACTGAAACCGCCATGTGCTTAGTTACTGGGACCTTATATCTACCCTGTTTGTATGCCTGCCCTATCGGTGCCATTGCAGCGGAGTATGTTAGAGGTGATTGGTGGAGTGTGGTGAAGTGCGGTGTCACAGTTTGTTTATGATCACCATATCTTTTTTTTCAGACTCAATCCTGATTGCCACTCCCTTCTATGGAGGGATTACACAGAGCATCTTTCTCTACAGTGGCGTTAAACTGGTCTATGTTCACTTAGAGAGCAAGGTGAGGTGATACAGTCAGTACGACACCATTCTAAAAAGATGTGTGCACTGTTTAGTGATGCGATGCTCTGCAGATGTAACTGCAGGTTAGTAATGCAATAGTCTGCAGATTTAAAATGTATTTTTTAGTGAAACAGTGCTATGCGCACTCTTTACAGATGCAATAGAAACATGTAGTAACTGGCCTAAAACGATTCTATTTTGCTAGACGTTTTTGGGTACAGACTGCACATTTTTTTGTCAAACATAGACACATATAGAATATGACGGCAGATAAGAACCAGTCTGCCCAATTTTTTAAAATACTTTCATTAGTCCCTGGCCTTATCTTATAGTTAGGATAGCCTTATGCATATCCCACGCATGCTTAAACTCTGTTACTATGTTAACCTCTACCACTTCAGCTGGAAGGCTATTCCATGCATCCACTACCCTCTCAGTAAAGTAATACTTCTTGATATTATTTTTAAACCTTTGCCCTTCTAATTTAAGACTATGTCCTCTTGTTGTGTTAGTTTTTCTTCTTTTATGTTCTGCAGATGTAAACACTTACCAGTTAGTGATGAAATGTGCTGCAGATATAACTGTATACTATTTAATGATGCTTTGCTTTAAAAATACAACCGTGTTCTACTGTTCAAAAATGAATTGCTCTGCAGAGTTAAAGATCTTTTTAGTGATGCGATGCTATGCCGATTTAATAATGTATTGTTTATGGATGCAATGCTCTGCACCATTTACCCATGCACCATTTGTTGATGTAAGAAACACATGACAGATCTGTTTTACATCATTGTCTATTAACCCTTTGGCTGAGAGAAGTAAAACAAATGGTGAGAGTGGCAATTTTAGATATATCCTCTAGGGCAGGGGTAGTCATGGACATGGACATCCCTTAATGATTTTACAGGCATACTCGTGGCTAAGCATCATGGGAGATGTGGGCCAAAACATTTAAATTGCCATAGGTTGCAATTTAAAGAGTTTGTCTTAATTTTGCCCCTCAGGTTTCTGGACCACGGACTCGACCATTCCAGCTGACTGTTCAGAAATTGGAAACAACTCTCCAAGCAGCAAAAGACCAGGTGAGGAGAGAAGCAGCGCTATATATAAATTAAAACCCAAAAATACCAACATAAATGGCTAATGAACAAACCGCACCTCTGATGGCTATGCCGTTTAATGCTTGAATAATGGCAAAAAAATATAAAAAGTAATTATAAAATAAAAAATTATATTCATTAACATCTATTTTATTTTTGCCTTAATGCAAAATTCCATATGATTTCTTTTAGGTTTATTCTACAGAGAATGTTACGTGATTTTACAGTTTTCTGTCCATTCCACCGCAGTTATCTGTGTTCAAATTTAGGACTTGTTTGAGAAAGCAGCCCATCCAGCGATAGGTTCACAGCTCTCAACACTCTCAGCTGTGTATTTTCTTTCAGGGTACCAATGTTAAAGCGCTGATCCTCATCAATCCCCACAATCCTTTGGGGGATGTTTACTCCGCTTCAGAAATGATGGAATTCTTGGAGTTTGCTAAAAGGTAATGTACCTGTAACTTTATATCGGGGTGTTTGGGACCTTCCTCCATTGTTACAGGGGTGGCTGTGGGGTTTTATGTTTAATACTTGATATGTGTGAGCGTGAGTTCCTTCCTGGAACTTTATTCTGGTGGGCTTTGAGTCCTCCCAGGAACACATATGTATGAGCACTGTGTCCTGCCATTACGTTTACATGAGTGGGCATAGGGCCCTCCCTTGGACTCGTATGGGTGGGCTTTCCATGACACTATATATGTCTGGAAATTATATCTACCTGCCACTTGCACAATGACCTAGCACCACATTCACTTAGAAGGGGTACAGCTGTATCTGAATACCACAGAATCTTAGGACACCCACAGCACATCCCCTAACACACAAATCCATTTTTTCTTCTGGTGGTCAAGTGGTAGGAGCAGGAGAGATGTGCTTTGAGTGGCACCTCTCTTTTCTGCTCAATCTGTTCTTTTACACACTGTAAAATGGAACAGAGTGGAGAGCTGTTCCCTACTAGAGAACCACAGACTTCAGAACTACATACTACAAAACAGGCCCGGACTGGCCATCGGGCATACCAGGCAAATGCCCGGTGGGCCGCGGTGGCCGTGGGGCCGAGGCCGGCAGGGAGATCACAGGATCTCCCCGGCCGGCCCCTGCAGGGCCGGCACAATCCGAGCACCGGCCCTGCTGTGTGTCTCCATGGGCCGGTGGGGAGATCAAAGATCTCCCTCACCGGCCCACAGACAGGGAGATGCGGCCGCCAGCTGGGGAGAGAGGACTGGCGAAGCTCTAACCAGCAGCTCCGCCGGGTCCTCTCGCGAGATTCTGAGCGTTGCCGCGGTTACCACGGCAACGCTCAGATCTCGCGAGAGTGAACTCTAGCCTGCAGGTTAGAGTTCACTCTCACCACTGGACCACCAGGGAATGCAGCATGGTCCCCTCAAGGCTCCCCCTCCCAGGCAGAACGGCTCCCTCCCCCTCCCAGGCTAAAGGTAAGAAGGGATGGGGGGGGACATAACTTTAAAAAAAAATTATTAATAAAAAAAAATATATATTTAAAATTAATTCCCAAACAGCACCCCCAGACACACACACACAGCACCCCCAGACACACACACACATACCCCAGACACACACAGCCAACTCACACACAGCACCCCCAGACACACACACACACTGCACCCCCAGAAACACACAGCACCCCAGACACACACAACCAACTCACACACAGCACCCCCAGACACACACACACACACACACACAGCACCCCCAGATACACACACAGCACCCCCAGATACACACACAGTACCCCAGATACACACACAGTACCCCAGATACACACACAGCACCCCAGAGACACACAGCGCAACCAGACACAAACTGCAACCCCAGACACACACAGCACCCCCAGATACACACACAGCACCCCCAGAAACACTCAGCACACCCAGAGACACACTTAACACACATATATATATATATATATATATATATATATATATACATACACACACACACTACAGCACCCCTCACACTGCACCACTACACACATTACGCTCCAGATACACGCTAGATCCCTTACCCTATATGCACTCTTAATCCTCTGCACACACACACACAATCTTCTATACACACTCTGGGTCCTTTACACACTATATCTCTTATACACACACAGTGCACCACCTACACACACACTACATTCCTTGTAAGGAAACACATACAACATTCTCTAAACACATCCTCTCTACAACCCCTACACACACTACTTCACCTATACACACACTACTGCCCATATGCACACACTCGCTACATCCCCTATAACACTATGCCCCTATACACACACTCTCTACAGCCCATAGCCACACATATTACACCACACATATTACACCTATTTACACAATACAACACAACACTCTACACACAGGCAATCCCACAAGCAGGCACCAAACACATGCACCATACACTTTCCTGGCCCTTTTGTCCTCTGGTATCCCACTTGTGGAGACACCAGAGACAATTTAAAAGCAAACACAGTGCAAGCATGTTATTACATTTGCTTGCGCTGCGCAGAACAAATACAGGGCCTTTTTCTAAAGCCAGAGCTCTTTGTACATGGTGCCCTTAACAAATATGGAACCCCACCAGCCCTGCCCATCCAATTTATATGCAAGCATATTGTGAGTAGTCTGTTATGTGTCGGTCCTATGATATCCAGCAGTACGGATTACTCATTTTTATCTTCTTTCAGACATTCTTTACACGTCATTGTGGATGAGATCTATATGCTGTCTGTTTTCGAAGAGTCTACAACATTCCAAAGTGTATTAAGCATGGAGAAGTGAGATAATGTGTTACGCTGTCACCCCAAAGACACATTTTGACATCTGTCACCCCAAAAGCACGCAGCGCTCTATATCACGACACACTGAGACTATATCTACTGGCTGCTAATTTGTCCTACTGCTGCCTGTTAGTCTGACCTCCAAGCTGCAGAATTCTCAACTTGCTTTCTTCTCCTTTAACATGAGCCGATATCTTTTCTCTACTTACCTGCACATAACGCACCTCTGAAGGCAAACCCCCATTTTCTGCTTTTAATTCCATTTCACTCCTTTTCTGTTTAACATCTGATTTCATTCACAACCCACACTGACGTTTGTCTTTTTTCCCACTCAGACTTCCAGATCCTCAGAGAACGCATGTTATGTGGGGGATCAGTAAGGTAGGTACATATTAGTTTTACCAATCTTAGGTGTAAAATAAAATAACTCTTCACAAATATCAGAAAATGTTAATTATCACTTGGGTTGCATATTTCCTATGACTGTATTGTTGGATATCTGCGGAGCTGCAAAATATTCAGCTAAAATCTCTAGATCGAATAAGTAAAAGCACCGACGCAAAGAAACATCTGAAGATCAATGGGAAGAGGAGAATTCTAGTTCAGTGAATGAAAAGATACCATATGTCTTATCTTGAAACAGTGGAAAACTCAGGGTCAATAACTCACGTAGTCCCAGTAACACCGTATTATTGGAAACCTACAGCAGTGTTTCAGTGTGCGCACAGTCTGGATTTTTATCAGAAGCAGTATATGCATCGACACACAGATTACACATCATTGTTGCAGTTTTTTAATCTGCAGTAGCTAGTCACATGATACAAAACGTATCCTCCTTATCTTCTCTCCGCTCGACCTGTTGGTCTTACATTTTGTGAGATTAAAGTATTTTTGTGATCCATAATATAGATGGGAAATGTGGCTCAAATTAATGTTTTTATAGGAACTCCCTTTATTTAAGAGGGGCTGCTTAAATACATTTTGATTAACATAATCTTGTGAGAACAGAGCTGTTTTCTGAAAAGGAATAGACTGGAAACATTTCCCATAATTCTCTGGTACACTGGCACAATGTGTTTCATTTTTGGCTTTAGAGCCTTCATTTCAGGAATTTGGGTGAATATTAGATTTGTGCACAGCTGAAAAATCTGGTTCCACTGAACCGTTTTTTTTCTGGAAATGAAATGCAGTTTGAGAACTCCACTACCCGTTCATTTGACGGTTCATTCAGGGAAACTATTTGGACAAACAACAAAGGGCGCAAAATGGGACGATCAGTGTATTGCAAAATATATATATATTAAATATGAATCTATAGGCACATTTTCTCGTCATTTGGTTAACAAATCAAGTGAGAAAAGTAACCAATGAGGGCAAAAGAGGAGGAGCAAAAAAAAAGAAATCTCTATTTATATATTAAGTACATCATATATGAATATATATATTTTTTTACTGCTCTTACTCCCTGTCCCTCTAGTGGTCACTTCTTACTTGAGCTGTAACTAAAATCAAATAAGTGGCTGTCCACTAGACATCAGTCATTCTTTTTGTCCCCATCAACCATCTCTCTATTTTACACCACGGGTAGGACTGCATAGACCAGCTTGGTTACATATTCATATGGCACTTTGCAGAAACATAATTCAGACGAATTGCAATTTGGATAGAACTGAATGGAAAAGTCTAGTAAATAGCCAGTGTACCTTGGAAAACTCCCAATAAATTTAGTGGAATAGGTACATTGACACCATCTACTTTTACAAGGTTATAATGGGAAAGGTTAGGTAATTTAAATTAATAACAGATACGTTTTTGTTGTATTGATGGTTGCTGTAAGATCACATGACATGCAGTGCTTGCAGTGAGATAACAATTAATGGTTCTCTACTGTAGTAATCTGTTCGCTTTTGTTTTAAATGTTTAGGATTTTGCCGTATCGGGAATTCGGTTTGGGACCTTGTACTCCCAGAATCAGGATGTGTGCAATGGGGTGGCCTCTCTCTGCTACTTCCATGGTGTCTGTGGTCCAGTTCAGTTTAAAATGGCCCAGCTGCTTCGTGACAGAGGTAAGACCGCATGACATGTTTTTGTGATACTTTAGTACACTTGAGCCACACTCCCCTACAACCAATAACTTGGTAGCTCTGGCTGAAAAGCTAATCCGGCAATAACATGCTCCTTCAGACCACAGTTTACTGACCCCTAATGACATTTTGCCAGCTCTTTTCAACCAACTATGCCAGGTTTATATAAACCGATATTACCTGATTTGCCCTCTGACATGATAAAGAGGGATTTGCCTAATCTTGTATATAACTCTGTGAATTGTATCCGTCTCACTTTTTTCCTTCCCTTAAAGAGACATTATAGTAGCCAGAACAACTGCAGCTTAATGTATTTGTTCTGGTGAGTATACTTAGTCTCTGCAGGCTTTTCAATGTAAATACTGCCTTTTCAGAAACAAACATTTAGGTGGCTTGCCTCCCTTAAAAGGTAAGAAAACATACCTTATTTCCAGTGCTGCGCCGATCCGCCCCCTTGGCTGACATTGTTAGAATTGATGTTCTCTGCCAATCCAATGCTTTCCTATAGGAAGAGGAGATCATCAAGGAGGCATGGCGGGGCCAAATGCTTTCCTGGCTAATCAGAACCTCCTCATAGAGATGCATTGAATCAATGCATCTCTATGAGGAAAGCTCAGTGTCTCTGTGGCTCTCTCTGTAGAGCATGAAGATGCTGACCGTCGGTGCTGCACATTGTGCAGCACTGCCCCAGGAGGCACCTATTGTGGCCGTCTGAGGATTATCCACTAGAGGTGTTCCTTGGCCTTTACCTGAAAAGGCAGTGTTTACATTAAAAAGTTTGCAGAGTCTGACTATACTCACTAGAACAACTCCATTAAGCTGTAGTTGTTCTGGCGAGTATAGTGTCCCTTTAAGGATGACCTCTGAGTGCCCAGGCCCTTATTCTTGTGTGGGAAGAATGTTCCATGTTAATGTATCTCTTTTCTTTTCCCAGATTGGATCAACCAAGTTTACTTGCGGGTAAATCACGCCCGTCTCCGTGCAGCTCAAGCGTATGTAGCCGAAGAGCTTCGCGCTTTAGGTGTGCCCTTTCTCAACCGCAGTGCTGGATTCTTCATTTGGATTGATTTCCGGAAGGTGAGTGGCTGAGCAGGAAGTGAAATGAGTGAGTGCAGCTCAGATGCTTTCATCCTATCTCTACCCTTTCTCTCGGGTATGATGTGATACAGAGCATGCAAAAATACTTAGAGGCCAAACCCTGTCTCGTGCATTAAAGATGTGCTTATGCTCAGTGTGTCCCATTAAATATGTACAGTGGACATATAGTTTTTGTGTTCTCTGCCAATTTTGAGGTGATGGCTTTTTCTCTTTCAGTACCTGCGGGCTCCCACCTTTGAAGAGGAGGTGGCGCTGTGGAGGCACTTTCTTGACAACAAGGTCCTCCTGTCTTGTGGCAAAGCATTTGAGTGTGGTGAACCAGGCTGGTTCAGGGTGATTTTTTCCGACAAGACCCACCGCTTGCAGCTGGGTAAGGACTGAGTTTTGCTTTTATAGAAGTGGCTAGCAAACTGCATCTCAGAAACCACTGATCCACTCTGGCGGGCAAAGAATTCTGGGAATTGTAGCCAAACAAAATGTTACTACAATTTCTGCTACTCACTTTGAGGCAAAGAATAATAGAATATAGCCCAACATTAGCCAAGGTTATGCACCCCAGCTTAAGCTGAGGTTGGATTGCAACTCCCATCATTATCTATTAATAAACTGCTTTGTTTTTCATACTATAACGAAGTAAACTTTTCTCTTCCAACCTCGCAGGAATGCAGCGTATTCGCAAGGTGCTGGAGGGGAGGGAGCGCGAGATGCAGGTGGAGGCACAGCGGAACAAGGAAGTTGAGGAAGGAAAAGCAGATAGCACTGATGAAGTCATCTATGTATCCAGCCACCGCGAGCCGGCCAATTCGAATTTGGGGGACCTCATCGTGCAGCTGCAGCATCAGATGCGCTCTTCAGACTGGCTGCAAAGGAACACCGCTGAAAACTTTGCCCAACAAAACCCTGAGGTTTACCAAGTGTACAGCAAATTCGCAGGGAACCCATAAAACGAGGGAAAATTAGTACGTGGCGACACGTTCAGCACAAAGTGTAGAGTCGTATAATCAATAAATTGAAGCGATTATACTATCTTGGGGGAAAGTGCGCCTCATTTATTTTGGCTTGAGTTTTAACTCGCTTAGATGCGCGCCAGCTGTCAGAATCATGTTATATAAAATGGCAGTAAACCATAAAAGCCCCTGATTTCTCTGAGGTTTGAATCCAGCAATGTCCTAAGAGGGCTGTTTTAAGCCTTAATAAAGATGAGACTCATCAAATTAATAAACGTTTATACACTCACTTACAAATCTAATAAAAAGTGGCACTGTTACCTGAAGATGTATTCCTAACACAATAGTGTTCTAGTCATTAGTTTGATTCAGTCCCTCTCCCCCACATTTAAATTTAAGGGGAAAAAAAAGTTTTACTTACATTTTTTTTCCAGTGCTGGGTCACAGTCCTTGCACCTGGCAGGTCCTTCTCCTGCAGTGTCATTTTGTCTTCTGCCTCTTCTTCAGATTCTAGTCCAATCAAATGCTTTTCGTAGAAAAGCTCTGAATACATTGCTTCCCTATAAGAAGCATTTGACAACGTTCTACGTCCTAATGGATATCGATTGTCACATGACTGAGTGAAATTCTGTCATTGCAGTGGAAGCGCCTTGTCTTGTGCCTATCAGTAAGACAGCACTGTCCCAGCAATGGAAACGTTGCCGGGCTAAACACTCCTCCTGTTTTACATCGCAGGGTTAAACTTAAAGGGACACTGCACCCAGACCATTGAGATTAGGTAGCCTTGGTGCCTTTAGTTGTCCTTTTTAAGGGGTTAATCTACTAATATATGTTTTGTGCAAAATTTAGGCCATAACAGACATGTTGAAAAAGTAAATGAATTGGAGAATTCTTTCCAAATTCAATATTATGGTCCAAGTTTTCAGTTTACCACATTTCAAGGTTTAGTAAACATACCCTTAAGTGTGTCCTTTTCATTAAGATGAGCCATCGCAATTTTAGACTCCAGTGAATATTAAATCCTCAGAAAATATTATTTAAAATTCAGGGTCCCTTAACCTTTAAATTATTTAAATTTCAAAAAGTCCAACATATTTTCACAGCAGTAGATGTTGATGTTTATTTACCGTATCCTGTAAACTGTCAGAATATCCAGATACTGTCTGCAGACTTAGCACCTGTGTTTGCTGCAGAACGAGGAGGGTATAATCATTGGTTGGAATTAGTGTCTTGTCCTTGTTGTATGAAAAACATGAGGCGTCTTTACATTTTTATTTTATTTTTCGTTCCTGTACCATTCCTGCTTTTCCACCTGATTTTGGCAATAAATTGTTTGGAGCCATTAGCTATGGATTGCTAGAGGCTATTATTGAACGTCTTGTTCTGGCCTCACAACGATACCTGTGTTTTAATACAATTCTGTAAGGAGGAATACCTGTGTTGTGTGTCTTTTGGGTCCACTGGCAGCAAGTGTAAGGTAGGTCCGATTTGTATTGTCATAGTGGAGAAATACTAAATTGGGGTATACCTCTGCCTTCTACATCTTTATATGATTAAAAAAAAAAAACACAATATAAAATATGTTTAGAAATACATGCTATTAAATCCAAAAACATAAATAACATAATGAAACAATAGCTGTCTTAGCAGAAATGACCAGCAACAAGTTTTAAGAAGGGTAGAGAATAGTGATGTCCCGAACGGTTCGCCGCGGACTCATCATTGAGTAAACTTTGACCCTGTACCTCACAGTCAGCAGACACATTCCAGCCAATCAGCAGCAGACCCTCCCTCCCAGACCTTCCCACCTCCTGGACAGCTCACTAAGAATGCAGCTTCACAATGGATGTAAAATGGATGCTGTCCAGGAGGCGGGAGGATCTGGGAGGGAGGGTCTGCTGCTGATTGGCTGGAATGTGTCTGCTGACTGTGAGGTACAGGGTCAAAGTTTACTCAATGATGAGTCCGCGGCGAACCGTTCGGGACATCACTAGTAGAGAACCCTCAAAGGCTCAGCACGGTTACTAATTTACTCGTTTGAGAAAGACTGCGCGCTGGGACCTAGGGAGTTATATACGTACGTCGTCTGAGTTGTTTATAAATTGCTGATAATTTGTATTAGAGTAGTTTATTATTGTTTTCATTGGGTTTTTTCACTCGTGACAAATAAAAGCAAATTATATGCAAGACCTGTAGATACACACTTGAGTATAAGTTTAAGCAATACACTGTTACATTTATGTAGAATGTGTTCAGCTGTAACTGTGATGATTTGCATCCATATTTAACACACACGAGATTTTACTAACATTTGTGGGAGCAGTATGACTGCTCAGGACTAGGGTCACTAGATAATGGGCTTCAGCAATCCTCACTGTGTCATAAATGGCTACTTAGTACAGGCAACGCCACATAACAGGATAAAGCAAGCAAAAGGGTTAAAGATGATTTATAAATTCAGAGAAACCATTTTTAAAAATGTATACATAAAATATATATCTACGTGTATTACACAACCCCCAGCCCCCCCAAAGTATTCTAATTCTTTTCGTTGTAGTAAATGGGGGAATACAGCATACTCCTACTTGCTTTGCTTAATCGCCGGAATCCCTTAAATGTATAAAATTTTAATAAAAATACTTGCTTGAGCTTTTTATCTTTTTACTATTATGATTTTTTTGTTTGTTATAAATCTATAAATACCCGCAAATAGAAATCAAAGTATCAAGTAAAATCACCTTCACGAGGTCACCCAATAGCGTTTACCCTTTTCTCCTCACTAGAGGAAACATATTATGTATAACTGTTATACATATTGTCGTCCCGTCTGCTGTATTTTAAGCAACTGGGAAAACGACTCCGATTTAAAATGCGAGTAAATGACTCGGCCGTTTCCAAAGCATATCTTCTGCAGTCTGGTGTCTGTGACTTGGCTCTGTGGGCCAGTAGCTTCATGCAACTTTGGTTGAGGGCATCAGTTTTATAAACCACTGAGAACAAAATGTTGCAGCCATGCTATACGTAAGGTGGTTTCTGTTCCTTCGTGGATGTACAGACATCTGCTACGTATGTGATTGGTAAGATAACCAACAACATACTCCAGGCTAAAGCCCCCATCCAGTACGAGTAGCCAAGGGATATCTTGTTGTTTTGTATGTTATTCCAATGTTGCCAGGTGAAGATTGTCCAGCCCAGCAAAAAGAACATTCCTGGATGAAAAAAAAAGGTCAGTCTGTGCCCAGTGGGTTTATGGATTTATACACTACATTTCAAATTGAAATCTGAACATCAAATTTAAAGTTAAACCGGCCAAAGTTACAGTTTGGCTGTTTTAACCAGACATTTGCCACTTGGATTCAGAGAGCGAAATGCGTTCCTTAGTGTTTGTATGACCGTGCATTTCACAACTCGTTCAGGGTTATCCACTAAAGTGAGAATTCTAAATGAATTTCAGATTTAAGGCCAAAGAAGGAAAATTGAAAGCGTAGATGACTTAGAGAATTTTTCCATTTTAGCTATAATGGCCATGAATTCACTTTGAAATCTCGGTTTGCCGGGCAAAGTTCTAAATTAGGAGCAGCAGAAACATTCTACTGGTTTCCACAGTGACTGCTTCACCCCTAGATCTTTGCCTTGGAGTTGTACTGTGTAAATAGCTCCTCTGTATGGTCATAACAAAACAGAACAAAAGAATGTATCGATAATAAAAAAGAAGGATAACATTTCAATGGGTTTTCTTAGAATAGAAGGGAGACCAGATTTATTTACAAATCCTACTTACACATTGGGTTAATGCATTAAGATCTACTGTATATTTCATTAAAAAAATGTTAAGATTTGATGCGAAATATGTCATACATAGTAAAATATAGTATCATAGCATCTTTCCCTGCTGCTACAGCAAAATAATTTCTTACACGTGTGGTTGATTTTATCATTAGCAGAAGAATTTTCTTCCCAGCCTCTCTAACGTCATATTTCAGCACAGATTGACCCTTCAGGTGCCATTTTCAGATGGCTAATGGGTTAGTTAATGCATTAGTGAATTTTTTGGAAATTGGACATCCCACGTCCAAAATGTATACTAGACTGCACAGGAAAATATTTGCAACTCTCCCACACCATAACAACTTAATTGGGATTAAGTTGTTAATGATGGCAGGAGTGGTTGGGTGCTGGCTTACCTCCAAAGCAAAGAAAGGGGCAGAGCTGTCTGGCACAGAGAGACCAACTTCAAGGTTAAGCTGTTTGAAAATGGTTTAACCCCTAAAGATATGACAGCACCCAGACACTAGTGCCACCATAACTACTTCACTGAGTCTGCTAGTTTGGTCTACATTTTACAAACTAGTTGTCAGCTGATCAGGCCTTTAGTGAATATACCATTTCTGAGTTCTGTGTTACCTGTAGGAAGAAGCACAGCTAAGAGGAGGCTGCCAGGTCGTGGTGGCTCCCGGGTGCCTGGAATCTGTCGTGGGGGTCTCCAGCAAAACAGAAAAATGAGGCAGAGGCAGAAGCTGGCGGCCGCCATGATAAAGGAAAGTCCCGTAAAAAAGAGCTGCGCTTTCCTCACTGTCAATAAAAGGAGACTGAGCAGATGTTAAACCCAAAGAACCAGCGTTCACTCCGTCCGTGGAATAAAACGTAAATGTTGTCCCTATTTAACACTAATAACATAAGGTATGAATTTCTTAGTCTTACCTCGTAGATAGGGTTAGGGGGATTCAGGGTTAGAGTGTACCTGCCTTCAAGATGCTGTGAATTGCAACTCCCATGATTGTCAGCCCTAAACCTAACTCGTGTTACAATGCTGTACTTATTACAGCAGTGTACCAGGAGCTGTACTGTCACCATAAGCAAATTAATTCATGCCAATACTCTGTAAACATTTGAGGACACAGTGGGAGGTGGAAAATTGAATTTATTTATTGCCCTCAATACATTTACGATACACACACACCCATCTAATTTTAGCAAAACACACAGATTGGTGATTACTGTGTATAGTGCGCTTACAAATGTAATTGAGTTAAAAATAAGCAGCTACACACTCTAGTGCATACTCTCTTATCCCCACTAATTATAGTAATGAACCAAAGTGAGCTTAGTACAATCTGGATATTTTATGTCCAGACTCTACTAATCAAATTAGTGGAGCGCTAAAGGTATAAACTTACCCTAAAATATGGTTAAATCTCAGATGTATATCGGTACATATAAAGGAACCAAAAAAATAAAACACAATACATTATCACCTGTGGATTTACACTATATTGTGCTTTATTTTATTGTTTCCTTTATATGTACTGAGATACATCTGAGATTTAAAGAAACACTATAGTCACCTAAATTACTTTAGCTAAATAAAGCAGTTTTAGTGTATAGATCATTCCCCTGCAATTTCACTGCTCAATTCACTGTCATTTAGGAGTTAAATCACTTTGTTTCTGTTTATGCAGCCCTAGCCACACCTCCCCTGGCTATGATTGACAGAGCCTGCATGAAAAAAAACTGGTTTCACTTTCAAACAGATGTAATTTACCTTAAATAATTGTATCTCAATCTCTAAATTGAACTTTAATCACATACAGGAGGCTCTTGCAGGGTCTAGCAAGCTATTAACATAGCAGGGGATAAGAAAATCTTAATTAAACAGAACTTGCAATAAAGAAAGCCTAAATAGGGCTCTCTTTACAGGAAGTGTTTATGGAAGGCTGTGCAAGTCACATGCAGGGAGGTGTGACTAGGGTTCATAAACAAAGGGATTTAACTCCTAAATGGCTTGAGGATTGAGCAGTGAGGCTGCAGGGGCATGTTCTATACACCAAAACTGCTTCATTAAGCTAAAGTTGTTCAGGTGACTATAGTGTCTCTTTAACCCTATTTTAGGGTAAGTTTATACCTTTAGCGCTCCACTCATTTGATTAGTAGAGGCTGGACATTATATCCAGATTGTACTAAGCCCACTTTGACCCATCTAATTTTGCCTATAATTTACTATTTTTGTTCCTGTTGTCATCCCCCCATCAAAAGATCTGAAATATCCTGCTGCAACAATGAACAGTCACAGTACATGCACAAACACAGGGTTATTTACCAAAGTGAGAGTTTTCAGGAATTCACAGTGAATTTCAAATTTAAGGCCAAATTAGCCAAGTTGTAAAAAAAAAAATCTCCAATCCAGGTATGCTTTTAGTTTAGCTAGCCTTAAAAGGTTACTGCAACCCTTCATCGATAAATCTTTTTTTTAATTAAGTTAAAGGACTCTATTGGGCATTAATATTAGATTCCCCATAGTAAAATGCTGCAGAAAAAGTTTTAACACTTTCCTGACATCCAGTGCCTGGTGAAGTCCTAGGGACTGACCTCTCCTCATCTGACGTCACATGGGGCCTTTGCGGTCCAATCGGAAAAGCTTGTGAATGGACTGTTTCACTTTCTCAGCGCATGTGTACACTCTGGGCAAGGGAAGGGACAGGGTAGTGCAATTTTAGAAGGAAATAAAAAACAATACGGGTAAGTGGGAAGGCTTATTGAAAGCCTTAGTGGAAATATAAGGCAGAAATCAAGCATAAATTCTTTTTTATCCACAGAATTGACATTAGGCAGCCTGGAACAGAGCTCTGGGCTACCTAAGATACGTGTGCCGGTGGGGCAACTTGCCACCAGCACACAATTGCCAATGCTGAAAACACTGTACACATATATTGCTATCACTATCACAACTTCAAATCACTAGTGGTCATCATGGTTGGAGTAAAACTTCCTGTTCTAATTTAATTTTAAATTCCCTACAATTCTCTCTTTAGTGAATAACTCTGAAAGAATTATGTAACTTAAGTACAAATAAACTTGCTCACAAAAGCTTTCCGTCTACAGAATAGCTATTAAAGTACTGCAACATGTTTTTAATGTATGAATAAGATGTTAAAGAACTTTGACTTTGATGTTAAAGAACATTAGCCAAGTAACAGTAAGCTATGCAGGTATCCCTTAGAAGTATAACAAGTGACACATACCTCGACTGGTAGAGATAATATTGCTTTGGTTAGCAATCCGAGACTCATCCAAGAAGTGGTCATTTTCCCACAGACCTTTATTGTTGTACCAATGCGGAGTGAGAGCTGAAGCCATAAGTGACAATGTACCCATAAATCCAGCTATGCCCTCCAATATCTGGGTACCAGACAGAGTCACACAACCTGTGGACATAGTGCTTGCTCCTCTCACAAAAAGCTACCTCTTGCGAACCACAACTAAGAACTCGAATTGTTCTTTAGAGTGGCAGAAAAGATCAAATCAGAAAGCTGGTATTCTGGAAGGCTCCACATTATTGTAAAACTAAAAGTAACCGAAACGGACTTGTACGGCCAATGAGTGATGAAAGTAACAAAAAGTCCCTTTTGTGTCTTGGGGAAACCCACAATCTAAAAGTGAAAGCAATAATCCTCTCCTTGTCCATCCAAGCATCCCTGCAAAGCTTTGTCTTCCAGACTTGTTCTGCGCCTTGTGTTCCGGGCCAAGGACATTAAACAGAACACAGCAATTTTTCCTTTGTATATAAAGGAAGTTATTCGGGAACAAGTGACATCTGTGTTTTTCCTCTCCCAAGCATATACTCTGCCATCCAGCTGCAGAATATTTTCTCTCCCTCAGATTTTTTTCAAACGTGTAAATAATGCCTTTTTTGGATGTGTATTTTTCGGCGAGACACAGAAATAACAGAGTTAGGGCAGACAAAGTTTAAAGGGGAACTGTCATTTGCGTGGATATTCAACATTATGTCTACTTATATAGTTTATTTAACAAGATGCGTTTGTGAGATGTGAAAAAGAAAATTACAAAATTAATGTAAAAATCTGCACCACATTATACTGCAACTTGATATGCCACGACTGAATTTGACTGTGATGTTGTTTGCTTAAAGAATCCCAGATCATGTGAAAATTAGGTTAACACACAATATGGGTGATTTTCAATGTTTTATTCAAAGGTGTACTTTCCAGAGAAGTGGAATTTCCCCTTAGATTCACTTTCACTTTGATTCCTCTTGTGTTAACATATAAAGTCAGACAGTGATATAAACTAAGGGTGTTGAGATAATGTATATATAATCAAGTGGAATGTGAGACTCTTTAAAATGTTGACCCCATTAAAGGTTTTATGACATGTCACTGTGATTAAGGCCAGCTGTTTGGTATGAGCTAATGTCTTAAAGTGGTTCGGTCACCACAAACTCCATTTTATTATTATCGCCATTTATATAGCGCCAAAAGATTCCATAGCGCTTTACAATATTACTTCCTCTCCCTGAATTTGTTCTTGTTTTTCCAGTAAAATATATAAGACTAAATACTTTGTTTTATGCATTTTTTCCTACACTTGACAAACGGTGGAGCTTAACCCCTTAAGGGGACAACTTCTGTAATAAAAGGGAATCATGACGGAATATATCCGTCATGTGTCCTTAAGGGGTTAAGGCAAGCTTGACTTCCTTTGTCAAGTCCCCTTGTCCCCATAACACTCACCTCTCTGTCACATCAATCCTCTGTAATCTTGCGATCTTATTCTCTGTCCTTCCCAGTACAGTTGGCATTGGGCATGCGTGAGATCACAAAAAGAAATGAAGGATAGAATAAGGCAGGAGTATCGTGTTGCTGCCAGGCTACTGAAGATGGCGCCGGGTAGGAAGAAGATTCAGGGTCAATAAAGAAGATCTTTTCTGGTGTAAGAATGGGCCACCTGTGCCAAATAATACTTTGGGGGGAGTAAGAAGACAATAACAAAAACAAAAACAATTCCCCGTGCCAGAGAAGCTTTAAAATTGTCACTCAGAAAAAAATGGCAGAGGTTTAAGGTGGTACTATCACCCCAAAAAATATTTTTGAACATTTTATAAAGAAATTCCAACACAAACAAAATATAGCTTGTATTAAAATCTAAACTTGGCTAAAAGGGACAAAAAGGTGGAGCTTCCACTGTCAAGTTTTGTCGGTTCCTACAGGTGTTGCTAGCAAGAGCTGCGGGATTCAGGTATTGTCTTGCTCATCGCTACACATGATCTACGCGGGCTCCAGCTGTAAACCAATTTACCTCTATCAACCACAATGCTAAATTCTAATTCCTTAAGGACACATGACGGAATATTTCGTCATGATCCCCTTTTATTCCAGAAGTTGTGTCCTTAAGGGGTTAATACAGGACAACACATGAAAGAAGGATGTCACATGTTTTGGGTGCTTTCAGTGGTTTTTTTTATGATGTTATACATTCCATAGAAGTGACGGTTCCTCTTTTAAAAATCACTGAAAGTGTAAATGTATCGACTTGAGGTTTTTAATGTAGCAAAGATATATGTAATACCGCACAAATGCTAAACTGTTTAATTAGAGTATTACATTCATAAAAGTGCAGATTTCTCAAAGCAATAGGCACTTCTATAAAGTGCAATTAAAATGGGATACTCCTTACACATAAAACACTTCAGGAAGCTTTATTGGTGTGCAGTGGCCCTTTATATAAACACTATGAATGTGTATTCCTAATGCTATAGTGTCCTAGTCACCGTTTATGTGACCCCCTCACTAACTTTTATTCCACGCCACACTCCTCTCTGCGCAGATATCCCTTGGCTCTTTCAGAGGATTTGCCTCTATTGGCTGTCAGAGTGACGGCAACTAGAGGCACTTAAACTCTGTAATGTAAACATTGTCATTCATACAAATGGGCACAGTTTTCACTTGCAGGGTTCAAATGAGAGGGACGTGGCATTGAGATTAAGCGGTCTGGTTGTGTCCCTTTAACTTGTGGCATAACTGCATTTATCAACATTGTTCGCATCTGTTCGGATCAGGCACCAACTTATCCAACCATTTAGGGTAACAAATAGCACAAACGGGAACAAGTCAGGTTCAGCAGCAATGGCAAAATTCGGAAGCATAATAGTACTTTTGCATGGTAAAAAATTCAGTTTGGATAAATGGATTTGTCAAAAACAAAATTGTGTCAATATAGTGGAACCTAGGAGTTTCAACTCCCAGACGACTTCTGCCCGTTGGAGTGGTCTGGGTGCCAACTCCCACTACCCTTAACCCTGCAAGTGTAATTATTACAGTTTTCATAAACTGCAATATTTACCTTGAAGGGTTAAGTCCTCTACTAGTTCTCCCCCGCCGCTGGCTGCGCATGCTCAATAGGTCTCCCCCACCGGATGACGTCCGCGGGGGAGGAGCGTGGGTGGACCCTGATACAGGTAAGTCACTGAAGGGGATAGGGGGTGGGAGGGAGAGGGGACCTGCAGTGCCAGGAAAACGGTTTGTATACCTGGTACTGGAGAGTCCCTTTAATCCGTTCCAGAAGGCTGTTCACATTCCGATTTGTTCGAGAACCGAATCAACATTTCCCATAGGAATTAATGTAAATTTGTTTAATCCGTTCCAGACCGCCAAAATTACATGGATGGGGAAAGGTAACTGTTCTTCAGGCATTACATGCAAAAGCATATAAAATGACTGTATAAGGTTTCAAATATCTAATACCCCTCTTTCTTCTGTTTGTATCCTTATGTCCATAGTCCCTCTTCCCTTACTCATGTCCCTTTGTCCTCTGGTATCCTTCTCCTCATATTTTCCTCTTTCTCCTTGCATAATAATTCTGTACATATCCCTTCACCTTTTGCTTGTGTCCCTCTGCCCTCTGGTTTTCCTCTCCCTATATTCCCTTCTTTCCCTTTACATAGGCCATCTGCCCATATTTCCTCATCTTACACTTATATCCCATGTTTCCCCACACTTGTGTCCCTCTGTGAATGCTGCCTGATATGTTCGGGTACTGAGGATCGTTTGCGTATTTTTTACGCAAAATTTTAGTTGGACTTCCGAATTGTTCGAGATCGTTCGGGTTCCGAGGTTCCACTGTATATCCATGTGGCATTTTGGTTCAAATTTTTTTCCCATGCAATCATTTTGGGAGAAATGATTTGGACAAACTAAAAGAGTGCAAAAAATACAAATCAGTGTACTGCAAAATATATACAGAATATAAAAATACATTTATTAAATCTATACTGTTATGGCTCCTCTGTTTTTCCTTATATTGGTTAAGTCTCACTTGATCTGTGAATATAATCAACATTTAATGACTGTCCCTTAGCCAGTACCCTAGCTAGTACGCAGACTTACTATCCTTTTCAAGAATGCTGAGTACTGTTTTGAATAAACGCTCCATAAACATTCAAAGAGGAAACGTTCAGTCAGTTACAGTTCTTTTTTTCTTCACCCCAGTCAATATTACAGAAGCATTCAGTTGAAAGAAGAGCACAGCAGTGGGAAGTATATAACACACTCAGCTCTGTGGGATTTCCCAATACGGGTGCTGACGTCTTCATTTTATAAAAATCTCCAGCCATGCCGCCATACAGGGTAATATGTCCTTGCTCTTGGCATTTGGTTCATGCTGAATGCCAAGCTTTGTCTTGCACCCCCCGTACACCCCTCACTCCAAACTTCATAACCACTTCTGCTTTTAGACGTGGTCATAGAGGAAGGGATCTATATTTGCAAGTGAAGAGATATCTGTATTGTAAATATAGCATGTATGTGTAGTATACATAGCACTGGCTGCCTAATAACAATTATGTGCAAAGCGACCAGGGGTGGGGATGGTTTGGGAAATTTTAGGTGAGTTAATTATAACAAGTTTTAGGACAAATTGTTATTAAGAAGTTACCAAAAATTTTCCAGATCAGTCCCGCATAGATGCAACGATGATGCAATTTAGAACAAGAACAGTGTATCTTATTTACACAGACTGATTTCTAAACACATTATGACTGTGGAGCTCTGTTATACACTCAGACACATTACTGGGAGTATTATTGCTGTGGAGCTCTGTTATACACTCAGACACATTACTGGGAGTATTATTGCTGTGGAGCTCTGTTATACACTCAGACACATTACTGGGAGTATTATTGCTGTGGAGCTCTATTATACGCTGACACATTACTGGGTGTATTATTACTGTGGAGCTCTGTTATACACTCAGACACATTACTGGGAGTATTATTGCTGTGGAGCTCTGT